ATGTTTTATATACAGTATGTAACCCTGTTGGAAAAGTGCAACGTATTGTTATATTCAAAAGAAATGGGATACAAGCAATGGTTGAATATCCTTTATTTGTAATTATTTTCTTCATATATAGGAGTGTTGTCTGACTCTGAGTATGATTTCTATATCAATAAATATTTCTAGACCAGTGATGTTTGCTTTATTCCATCACAAAAATCTGCTTAACAGTTTTGCATGGTGTGTTTGGGGGTTTTTTAGACAATACTGTGTTTTTGATGAAAATTTATACAGCAATTAGATTTCCCTTTAACAATTTCTATATATATTTTTAGCGATTGGTTTTATTTTTCATAATGACATTCTTACTATATTCATTCTTGTTGTTCTGTTTCTATTAATCTAGCACCCACCCACCCCTTTTACCATTCCATCCTTACTTTAAGGTCACTGTTGACCATTTGATCAGAGAGGGTTTGTTGAAAGAGCTCAGTACTCCGTGGTGATGGATGTTTATTTTTTGAGCCAGTCTATTATTGAAAGGTGACCTCTGGGATAATCTATTATGTCTTTGGTCAGAATAATTGATGAGCTAGAACCACTTAGTCTCAGGAAGATGACGATATGATTTTTTTTTTAAGATACAATTTTTGTGGTCTACCAGTCCTGTACAGTAGTTTCTTCTTAAAGTCTTTTACTTGAGTTTTTTTCTCTTCTGATCCAGGTAAGGAAATAGTTGTATTTCAGATGTCCATTCACAAGCTTTTAAGAACACAGGATGTAAAATGTAAACTTAATGAACTATGTGCCAGTCATAACATCATTCAAAATGCATACATGTACCATATTGACATTTACCTCAAATGTATAGTTTGGAAGTATCAGCACTTTAAAATAAAACCTTTCTAATTTTTCTTACTTAACCTTCTAAATGGTCATGGGTTATGTAAAAACTAATGCTACATATTAAATTTGGTGTATATTGAGAAGAAAGTGTTATGGAATGTAGTATATACCATTTTGAATAGAAACAAAAGCTAACTCGTGTAAATTCATAGAAAAAAGATAATTATACATCAGATTTAGTGCTTACTCTTTGGCAAGATTATTTTTTGTTTGCAAATTTCTTTTTAAATTTTTTTCTTTTTTATTTCAAAGGCAAGATTATTTTTTCCCAACTTTCCTTTTATTTATTTATTTTTTAAAAAATATCATTCCATTTATTACAAATATTTAGTATTGGTTTTCCATATTTCCCCCCTTTTGTTTTTATCATAATTATGTTATC